GTATGTGAAAGGCTCCAGGTGGAACGGAAACTATCCACCGCATTCTACCCCCAAACGGATGGTCATACAGAATGTGTCAATGCCATCATGGAGCAATACCTTAGGGCTTTCGTCAATTGCCAACAAGACAAGTGGTCCCTCTGGCTCCCGATGGCAGAGTTTGCAGCCAACAACCATGCTTCAGAATCTACCAGCCTATCCCCCTTCTTTGCCAACCATGGGTATGACCCCTGCATGGATTTCCTGGACACCCCCGTGGAGACCTCCGATCGGCCTACGGCTGGAACATTGGTAGACTGTATCAACGATATCCATGATCACCTAAGGACTGAGATCGCATTTGCCCAAGACAGGCAACAGGAATACGCCGACAAAGGGAGGCTCCCAGCCCCTCACTTCTGAGTTGGAGACCGTGTCTGGTTGAAGGCAAAAAATATCAGAACCAAACGGCCCTCCGTGAAGCTAGACGACAAACGTTTCTGTCCTTACCCCATCCATGCCCAGATTGGAATCCACGCCTATTGTTTGGACCTCCCACCTACCATGAAGATTCACAACGTGTTCCATGTTTCTCTCCTTGATCTTGCCTCACACGACCCTCTTCCAGGCCAGGAGATACAGCCACCACCACCCGTGGAGGTCAATGGTAAGCCACAATGGCAGGTGGAAGAGATCCTGAATGCCAAGTTCATTCGAAGCCGTTTACGTTACTTAATCTGTTGGAAGGGGTACGCGGAGGCTACCTGGGAACCTGCCGACTCCGTCAACAGGCCCCAAGCTCTGGATCAGTTCCATGAATGCTACCCGCATAAACCTGGACCCTCGCCTGAATAACACGCCTCAAGGGACTTCGGCATCAGAGAGGCGGGCTAGTGTCACGGCCACCCGACTATGGACACGGAATGTGCATGGATTTTTGGTTGCATATATTGGTTCGGGTTTTCTTGAATGCATAGTTGGATTTCCTTTGTATAGGTGATTGGGATGCGTTGCCGCCCAACGGCAGATGGCGGAACCTAATGGAAGAATCGCAGCTGCGCGCGACGCCAAGAAATTTCTTTTCTGTTAGTGATCATGGAGGATTTTCTTAGTATATAAAGGGGTGTGCCCCTTTATATTTTACTTTCTTTATGCAATCTGGGAATCTGCTTTGGACACCTGTACCTAAGAGTTACACTCTCTACTATCTGGTGTCCTCTTAAACCCCTGAACCCTGACCCTGAACTCCTGAATCCCGAACCTCATACAGCTCGCTTTGGTTGTACCCCTGCCCCTAGACCTCATCTCCGGAATCCTGCCTGTCCTGATCCTGGTGTGCCTTCGGCTACCCGACCCTCAGACCCTACCCATTACAACAACTTGCTTGGTAGCCTTTTCTGTCTAAGCTTTTTATCTTGTGCCCCCTTTGTTCAGTCTTAGTTATATGCTATACTCTTTGAGATTAGCATGTCAAAGCCTTACTGCTACCCTTAACCTTGTTTGTAACAGTCTGCTTGGTAGCCTTACATGAACTGGGTTGGTCCACTCATCTTAATTTAATCTTTTCCTTTTCACAACCAATGTCCATGAGGTAGTAGATGGTCTGAGCCCTATCCTTATATTTAGTAACCGTGACCATAATAACATGCAAGTGCATTTTGAGTGCAAAATATACCAAGGCAATTGACCTGAGATCAAGTGACAACATGTGCATAGATGCCTTCTTTAATAAGGCATCCGAACCCCTTTTGTCTGCTAGATATAAACTCTCATAATACTATCTTAGTTATTGGCAAATTTACATTCACCAACACTCAGGCTATCTACATCTCCCAACACTACTCTCCTGCATTTACCTTGTCACAATGTCACAACAGCTACAACCCAATGCTCACAGGCTACGTATGTCCAACCAGTCTGGCCAAAATCAGCCCGTCTGCAGTGGAGGTATCCAGAAATCCAGATCGAAGGAGACATTGGCTCTTATACCGTCTACTTTGCTTTCTCTTACTTCCACTCAGTCTGCAAGTTACAGAAGCTCGGCATCATGACTTCAGGTACCAGAGCCTGATTATTAGCATAACAGAGAATACGGTCTGGATGCAGCAGATGATAGTATGGACTCATATGATAGGGAATATGAGGATCATGGTAATCAGAGTGAACAGTGCGAGGAGATAGGTTTAATAGAGCTAGATGGAGATAATAAGGACACGGCAGTGGGCCACGGGGTGCAGAGACCAGTAACTTTGCCGGGTTTCGAAACTCAACGATCCATTATGACAGTGACAGTCACACTAACCCAGAGCTCGGAGAGGATTGGTTTGGCGGGATGGAAAACACCAAGGCCACTACGAGTTAGCCAAAATCATTCAACTACCATACCGCCCTCTGGATCAGTCTCCAGGCTGAATCTGCCTGCAACACCAACCGCAACACCAAGTAACTGATGACCAGAGACACCAGAATTTCACAACACAGCCCTAGTAGTAACCAGTAGCAGACGGAATACTGCTGTAGGGATTGAGCTCACCATTCAGACCAAAGCCCGTAAGTTAATATGGGACTGGACACTGTTGAAGGATCCATTTCTGGACCCAATTCCCCTGACTGAAATAGTACGCACATGTTGGAATAATGCCCAGCATGAATTAAAGTTTTCTGACTTTGGAGATGCCACACCAGGCTCTAATGAGCAGGTAAGTTTCTCCTAATCGATAATCTACTTCTTATCCACATGACTAAATATAATGGGTACCAGCCAGCAATTTGCAGATCTGAACAAAACACAGTGCATGCAGATCCCAGTATCTATATTGTGCAAAGAAGACTATAACAGAACTCTATAGGCTTGATGCAGAGAATCCCATAGCCTGTGTACAAAGGATAGAGTACTTACTCGAGAAAGACCGGTTTAATTGCACACCTAATAGGTATGAGGTATACTCATTGCCCTTCCTTGCGATTATCCCAGACCACAGTAAGACTGAATCTGTCTAAAAATCCTGGCAGGCATTTTCTCTTACATTCCTAGCCCCACAGATTCCAGGTGTCATATACAAACAATTTTATTTAGACAAGAAAAGGAAAGGTACAATGGATCATATGTTCCTAGGAAAGATCAATGGCATGTTTCTGTGCCTGACTGTAGCCATATTGTGTCATGCTCTGCAATGCTGGTGGACTGGAGTATTTGTTGATGATGGGGATTTCACAGTTCCAGTTCTGAAGGTAAAGATGAAAAACACCCACTCGAGACAGATGATAATCAGGCTAATGGAAAGACAGGGCTGCTGGAATGTCAGTTAAGAATATAGACCAATATGCCCAGAGCTTTGTAGACTCAAATTATATGGCAGATAACAAGGGGATTGAATGATAGAATTGCAAAGGATAGGAGAACAAGGATAGAGAGGATTGATAGCTATTCTGATAATCTCAATGCATTATGCCGGGAGGTTGGAATTTATCCGCTACAGGTTGGATCGCAATCTATGGGTGTCGGCCATGTGTGTACTACCCTAGGAGGATATAGTCAACAAGAGTCACAACGGCTAGCAGAGCAAGATCTGCTGGCGGGCTGAAGTGACCCAGATTTGATCGGGACATGTGAAGATTGCCAGTGGCATATAGATGAAACTGGACCAGAGGGCGAGGAGGAAAATAGATTTATTAGTGTGTGATCATGTATCTGTAAGAGAAAAAATAATATAGTAGATTATGAAACGTCTGGAGGTATGAATACTCGAAAAGAGAGTCTGGGGAGAATGCTGATTGAATGCCAACTAAAAAACACAACTTTGTAAATACATCCTGCAGATATAAAGAAATATAACATGGGATTGGAAGATTAGAACAATAGGAGGGAGGACTACGGCAAGATCAGAGGGAGAATGGGGGACGTCTGGACAAGAAGATCAAGTACGGAGAGTAATATAGATGGAGTGCAGACAAAACAAACTATCATGGGGGGAAGAATAGGCTGGAGAGAGCAAATATTGAGAGGGCACCAGAGGAAGGAATTAGTAGAGGGAATGCGTCAGCAAAGAGAGACAAGTGTCCAGGGATGTCCAGGGTGTCTGGGTCCATGTCTGCAGGCTGGGTAGATAGTTGTCATGGGAGGAAGAATGGGTTGGAGTGAGAAAACATCAAGAGGGGTCTGGAGGAAGGAATGGGTGGAGGGAATGCGCCGGCAAAGGGAGACAAGTATTCAGGGATGTCCAGGGTGTCTGGGCCAATGTCCGCACGCTGGGTAGATAGTTGCTGAGGAGGGTCCCCTTGGCAATGTCTGGTATGTGCAAACACAAAAAGAGTACGTCCAGACGGAATAGGTCTGGGCGCACCCATCCAGATTGTGAGTTTATATTGACAACTTCCAGAGAGTCTGATGCACAGGTAGTACAGGATGCAAAAGGGATTTTTTGCTGATGTGAAATTAACCCAGATTCCTCAGGTATCCTGGAGGTGCAACATCTCATACTTGGTGGCCTAGTCCAAGTCCTACATGTCACCAGCTTTCCAATAGTACCTCGGATATCTACCCGATGCTAGTATTAGCAGAGTTACAGCCTATCATGAAGGTGGTCTTTACCCTGACTCAGTGCTCACCTTGATGCCAGATTCCCCAGGTGTTCTTGAGTACAGTATCTTATACTTGGTGCCCTGGTTTAATACAATACCAGCTTTCTAATGGTACCTTAGACATCTACCTAGTACCAATATTGGTAGAGCTACAGCCAGTTATGAAAGTGGTCTTTGCCCTGACTGAGTACAGAGTTTGACACTAGATTCTCCATGTGTCCTTCCAGCACAGTATCTCATACTTGATCACTTGATTTTATGCGATACCAACCTTCTAATAGTACCTTGAACGTCTCCCCAGCACCCACACTGGTGGAGTTATATCTTGTTATAGAAGTGGTCTTCACCTTGGAAGAGTTCTAGTAAGGTTCTGGTTTAGTGCTGACTTTGACACCAGATTCCTCAGGCATCCTGTTGATGCAGAACAACTTACTCACTAGTCTGGTCCTACCCAATACTAGCTTTTCAATGGTGTATTGAATGTCTATCAGGCGCAAATATTAGGGGAGTTACAGCTTGTTGTGGGAGTGGTGTTTAGCCTGGCGGAGTTGTAGTGGAGTTCTGGTAGAGTGCTGACTTTAAAGCCAGATTCCTTAGGTGTCCTTTAGGCGCAGAGTCTGCTACTTGCTAGCCTAGTTCTCCTCGATGCCAGCCTTCCAACAGCCTATTGAATGTCTACCCAGCGCCAATATTTGTGGAGTTACACCCTGTAATCGGAGTGGTGTTTAGCCTGGCTGAGTTCTGGCTGAGTTCTGGTGGAGTACTGACCTTGAAGCCAGATCGCTCAGGCATCTTTGGGGCGCAGAGTCTACTACTCACTGGTCCGGTTCTACTTGACGCCAGCTTTCTAATGATGTATTACATGTCACCCCGGTGCCAATACTAGTAGATTCAGTTTACATTGGATTTATAGCAATAGGGTAGGGGGGGTAGTTTCTTTGCATACTGTATATCATAGAACCAATATGACTAGAAATATTATTTGAAAGCTTTTAGAATCTATATGTGACCCAGGTCACAAGGTCCAATCCTGGTATTGCATCCTGTAAATAGTAGTAGTGCTTACTTGTATTGTGAAAATAACTCCAGTATTGGGCTACGTCCTGTTCACACCCCAAGTTCTTGTACCAAGGAGTGTTGCATCCTGTGTTCTGGTGCCAAGGACTATTGCATCCTGAGTTTGGTGACTACTGTCTTGCATCCTGATTAATCATTTGCATCCTGTATGTCCCATGCTTCTGATGCACAGGATGCACAGGATGTAACCTTTTATTTTTGCTGATGTTTTACATTTATTTTATTTTATTTTCTCCAAGCTTCTATTGCTATCGGGGAATTATTCTATTCTCAACCTAGATTCTCCTGTTTACCTAGATTTGCATACTATTTTATTGAGTTTTTATTTCAACTTTTATATCAACAGTATATTGAACTTGTTATGTAGTACTGGGTTGCCATGGCGTACGGAAACATATTAGACACGAGTGTGCCGTATTCGGATCTCCGGATATTTAAGAAATTGGCGAGGATCACCACGAAATACAATGCTCACTTTCGGCAACCCCCGTGATTCCTGGAAATTCCCGCCACAGCGAAATTAATTCGGACCTTAGACACTCTACTCATCACTACCGGTATGGTAGTTATTAAGGCGCGGTACTTGGGTTCAGGTTTGGATTGCGCTTTTTGCCTAGTGGTGAGCACTCGTGCTGTTCTGGGACTGGCACAGTACCCCTTGTCTCCTTTGTGCTCGAGTACCCTACTGTACAACCGACAGGGTTAGGCTGAACAACGCACAAACACTGCGTATCATAATTCTATAATTGGCGATTGACTCTTTTTACCCTGGAATGCCTCCTGCGAGGTCCCGCTTCACCAAAAGTGGATGGAATAGCCAGTGGGAAGCCATTGAGCACGAGTGATCACCAAACAAATGGCGCGTCTGCCAACCGAACTGCACTACGAGTACTCGAGTACTAGTACAAGCTTTTCACAGCCCAGCAGTCGTCGTCATGATCTCCCCCTGATCTGGGTCCTTGGCAGGCACGGAGCTTCTATTTTTCACATGGAACACGGATATCTCCCCTTCAAGGTCCTCCTCCCCCCTCCATAACCACACGGCTTGGTTGTTGGTGCACCAGTCTTTAACCAATGCTTCCGCCGCTCCCGCTCCCGCTTTCTATCCCCTCCACCCCACAGCTTTACCTTCAGCTCCAAGCTCCGCCATCATTCTCTTAACCATGCTCAACTTGTTGGCGATACCCTTCCTACTGCCACTTATTCTCCCATCCGCGTTGGCCGTGGATTGCGAGTGCTATAGGACCTCCACGGGACACTACTTCACGAACTACGAATTCTATGACTTCCGCAAACAATCTGGCCCCCTCCCTCCTGTTCCAGAATTGCCGGACTCATTACCGAGGAGCCCCAGACCAACCGCAGAAGATTACTCGTCCAATCCAAAAATCGGAGCGTACCAGGATGGTTATATAAGGAGCGATGAGTTCACAAGCAGTTGGTCTATCCAAGACTGGGGGAAGGAACCTACTAGCGAATTCCCGATCAGGATGCAGAACAGTCGGAGCAACGTTTATTTTGGTATTTCTTTCCAATCCCCGGTTAAGCGAGTTTGAGAGCTCATGAATTTGGATGGTAGTTTCTGCTGATTCGAGTAATTCATCCTCAAAAATGGTAGTGAGGACTCATCGGTTTGATACGTTCCAATCCTCAGCTGAGATCGAATCCGCGTATGCGCCGCGCTCCCACTTTTCTGGCGTGTATCGCCCAACAATGGTTAATAAGGAGTTAGGGTTCAAAACGTCCTCTATGCTTCTATCCGCGTTCGCGCTCGAGTGTATGGCGCTGCCGGTGCTGTTGCAGGCTTCTTCACTTATTTCAATGGCCAGAACGAAACCGATATTGAAGTTTTGACCCGAGACGACCCCACCGAAATCCGATATTCCAATCAACCGGTTACAGATGATCGTACGCTATCCCTCTCCCTCTATCTACCGTGACTTAAGTAATCCCCGGGATCGTAAAAGCTAACGGATCGGGAACAGGCGGGAATGAGATCCGCGGCTCCTCAACAAAAGTAAACATGACCTCCCAGGACAGGACCGACGGCACAGAAGCGGAGAAGCTCAAAAAACGAGCAACTCCGACAACCCTGATTAGATATGACGATTGGCACACCCATCGGGTAGACTGGGTGGATGGCAAGTCATCCTGGTTCGTGGACGGCGAGCATCTCCTCGATAAAAAATATGGTGTTCCAATCGTCCCTTCCTACTTTATCATGGTTTGTTCACTAGGTTATATGGCCTCGCGTGGATTTGGCTGATTAACTGGAATGCAGAATCTGTGGTCTGATGGCGGCGTTTGGTCCGGAAACATGACGAAGGGTCAATCTGCATATATGGAGATTGAATTCGTCGAGATGGCGTTCAACACTACTGGGGGCGACCGCAGTTCCTCTAACAGGAATGTGAAAGGAGCTTCAGCGGCTAAGTGCGATAGCATATGTGTGATTGACGGTGTGGCTGTCACCGGAACGCCGGAAGGCGCACAGAGTGGGGCTTTCAAGAGTGCTGTCAATCCGTGGTCCCTGGGCGTAGCGATATTGATGATTGCTGTCGTATTGTCTTTTTAGGCCAAGACTGCGGCTGTGGTGATGACCGTGATGACAATATCCTGGTTGGGCTGATTCGTTGGTTAGGGTTTGTATCTTAATGTGTCTTGAGGTGAAGTTTTGTAGTCTAGAGAAATGACACTATTCCCCTTTTTACGATGGCTAGACCTCTTACTGGGAGTATTCTTGCATTAAGCCTTATGCCGTAGCTGCGCTGGATAGTGCCCGGATGTGATGCATTCAACGTGAAGCTTGTAAAATTGCTAGGCTCACAGCTCTTTGGTGTTCCCTCCTAGGTCTTCAAGTGCACAGCGTGAGCCCCCAATGGGGGGGAATTTCACTGCAGGAGGCTCGGGGGCAAAAAATCTTGAATAGGTAGCCCGGGTGTCGCCAGGGAGAGGTTGTTTGGTAGCCCGCGTGGCCGTGTAAGACCCAAGGCAGGTGGTGAGCCGTAAAAACTGAGGAGGTGTTTTTCTGATAGACCGCGTGAACGTGGTGAGGCTTACTAGCAAGGTTCTGGCGGGGTGGGAGTGTCAATGCTGGATGGGGTCCGGGCCCTCTTGATCGTGTCTGCTGGGGAGGATTTGGTTGTGCTTTAGCCTAAGGAGCGTAGGTATTCTGGCAGAACATGGAGTATCGATGGGACGTAGGGATAGATGTGTAGATGCGTGCGCATGCACATCGCGGACTCAGGTGGAAGTGGGAAAATGTCACTCGGGAAACAACCGAAACTAGGCCCGGAAGCTATTGGTAAGCGGCAGGAGAACGATGTGGCGGGAGGGGTGGATAGAAGAGTCGCAAATGAAGGAATATGAGGAGTTAAACGCAGTTGGTTGGTTTGGTGCCTGATTGGTTGAAGCTTTATAGACCGTTGCCGTCCATACCCGAGTGGCATACTTTTAGTAAAGTACCATCTGTGTCATGAGGACCAAAGGATGGATCTGGCCACCGGGTGGGGGACTATTTCAGGAAACAAGGAACCGAAGAGCTAGACGGGGGTTCCAAGGGCTCAATGGCTAAATGATTTAGGCTGGTGGCGCGGGGGGGGGGGCTTGAGGGCATTACTTATCTACCGTCCGCTACGTAAACCAAAGCAACAATGGCACTAGAGTGAGTTTTAATGATTTCAGATAGGACTATTATGTTCTCCGAACTAGGACGGCGAGTTATTGTTATTTTTGTTTTTGTTTTATGTGGACTATTAAGTGCATGGAGTCGCCTTTTCATCACTTGGACATCCGTACTAATTTCAAGCATCTGCAGGTGCGGAGAGGAGCGTAGGTTATCCCAGTAGCGTGCTTTTTTGTGCATTGAGAGAATTTATACGTGTACCCACATATCCACAAAACCATGGCCTTAGACGGCCGCAAATCTCCAGGAACTGAATAGGGGGGTTTTGAGCAGGGTGCTCTTCCGCTAAATTGTGATGAGGTGTCTGTGGTCGTTTCTCCCAGAACTCGGTGACTTTTCATGTTTTCATTGACCTCGGTCCAGTTATGCACTTTCTATACCTCTGGAGGATTTTGTTTTCATTCTCCTCCTCTATTTGTTGGACCATTCTGTAGCCTTATTTAACTTCGGGGGAGGCGGGAGGGTGTTTGGTTTGTTGGAAATCATAGAATATCACTCGGAAGATCGTTCATGATACTTGAAATGGGGTGTGGCTTCTCAGGAACATACCGGTCGGCCGCTCAGTCGGTGACGCCTTCACTGGCAAGCTTGACCGAGGGGTAGCCTTCTTGGCATGGCATTGATCTTTGATAGCGACTGCCATCCTCTTGCAGTATATGTGGCTCTGTGTGTTCTCTGGGGCAACCAATTATTGGTCTTGTCTTTCATCCTCTTTTCCAAATATTTTTGCAAGTCAGCTAAAACTTGGGTTGGTAGGAAATTATCCCAGTAAGCCAACGCCTGGGACTCCATCCACTCGTACGTAACTTCTCGTTTGCAATCAGATTTGCGAGAATTGGGTTCTGGCCGTATGTTGGTTGTCAGCTCTGTCGCATCTGACACGAGAAGGGTTGCGCTGGGCAGGAGGTCGCTCTTGGGCGTCTGGGTTTCGGGGGGCCTGGCGATGTAGTTTACACGAGTGGTGTCCGGGGCTCAACCTGATTATGTTGTGCCAGTATTCATTGGGGGTGTTTTAGAAATGGGACCATTTTCGTTTTTTTACGTTCTGCGTTAGGCTGCTCAGTGCTCGTGACTTCAGGCTTCACTCGTCCCGGTTGCCCTTCTCAAAAGTCCTCAGGTTGCGCATTCTCTGCGACTTATTTCGGCTATGAAACTCGTCACCTCTTGCTAGGATTTCCTTGGAAACTTTCACTACCCACGCCTGGGCCCTAAGGTCTATTCCTCACGCGGTGGGTTTGTGTTTCTGGCTTTCTTAGCCGACCGTGAAATCTGGAGGGTGAGCTGGATGATCTGTGGTCTGAACTTGGAAATAGGATGCCCTTTGCCCTCCTAAAGTCGTAGGTGGTGGTGCCTGTTCACCGACATGAATTGGCTTGCGGCCTTTTTTCCCAGTCCCTAATTGCAACTTAAAGGAGGAATTTTTGCATTTACAACTTTCAGCGGTGCTCTCAGTGTAGAGAGATGTACAATAGTACAATACTGAGTCGTGAAAAAGAGTGCTATAATCGACCTGGGTAACTTTTATATAGTGGTTGACCTTTAAAAAAATTAGAAAAACCAAAAGATTTAGGTACCCTCGAAAAATAGATTTTGCCGTGGTAAAAAAATAACATTCTCAAGTTCGGCCTATGATAGCTACAAAAAAGTATAGTAACCATACTTGAGCCAATGATGTCAAATGAAAGGCCGTATGGTGAAAGCAGTTCAAAAAGGAAACCTGGATGTACAGTACAGGAAGTGTTGGATATAACTATGTAGACATCCTCAGCACCCACTAGTCACCTTAGGAAAGAAAACATTTCCTATCCCGGACAGTAAAAACATTGAGTCTGTACTTCCTGCACTGTGATAAGCTGTCTCCCCATCTTGATTAAGCTTCAAGGCCTTTGCACCAGTGGTTACCCTCCTCATGCTACTGGAATTTTCTCAGCACAAACACATTTTGGGTTACATGATGTTTACTCTGGGTTCTATGGTGAGGGCTTTCTCTGTAGGGCCTTAGTACACCGTTTTAAGCCATGCTAGTAGTAGGACTAATCTTTTTGGGCCCTCTACCACCATGCTCACCAGCGGGGAAACAGCTATCTAGGCTCTGCTGACTCAGGTTGGGAAGGGCTTGGGATAGAACCTATCTATTTTCTCTTCTGTCTTTACCCCTGACCCTGCTCTAACTGGTTCTCTTTATGGCCTCTCATTAGAGGTTTCATTACTTGCTTGTTACCTATCTACTGCCAGTAACCATGCCTGTCCTGTTCAATGTATACAGTATAATACTATCTTCATGACTTTGTATGAAAATACGATCCTGTAGAAAGAGTATACCGCAGGCACGCTGAGCGAGAAGGAGTTTTGTATGAAGCTAGATTGGTAGTAGTTCTTGTCCTTAATTCTCTTAAGCGAGATGGGTAGTAACCCCTATTTATACAGGCACTGATTCTTTGTATAACTAAGAGGAAATGTAAGAGAAAACATAAGTGTTAACATGTTTGACCGTAACATAAGTAGGAATAACATAAGGGTGAACATGTTTGACCCTAAAGAACTGCCAAGGAAATCCTATAAAGGATGCATAAATCTGAGGTGGTATGGTTCCAGAAGCCTAGACTCTATACCAATTTTCCAGCAAAAAAATGTGACATTTTTTTGTAACGCTGTCTGTAATACCCACTAATTTTAAACCCTATGTGCAATAGATTTGTTGGTACTATAACCCCAACTAGCAAATCACCATAACCCTGTTACCATAGCCCTCTTATACATTAACTTCTGTGTCCCGAATATGTCGATGAGAGGAATATCTTGTATATACATGGCATTTAAAATCCTCTGACCCAAAAACGATATGATTGTGATATGCCTCCATCATCCTTAAGGTTCGCTGATAGTACTTCCAAATAAGTGTATTTGGTACTTGTACAAGTGCAATTAGGACAGTCCGAACCAATGAGGAAAAGGATGTTCAAATGTGTATGGTACGGCACTATCTTAATAACTTTGTACGAAAATACTACACAGTAGAAGGAGTATACTGCGGGCACGCTAAGCGAGGAGCAGTTTTGTATGAAGGTAGATTGGTAGTAGTTCTTGTCCTTAATTCTCTTAAGTGAGGTGGATGGTAACCCCTATTTATACAGGTGCACATCCTCCGCGTAACTAAGAGGAAATAAAAGGGAAAACATAATTGTCGATGTGTTTGACCGTAACATAAGTAGGAAAAACATAAGTGCGAACGTGTTCGACCCTAAAGAACTGCCAAGGAAATCCCATAAAATATGCGTAAATCTAAGATGGTGTGAACGGATAATTAGAACATAATTGTAAAACAAATGACCGATGACCGTGCATGATGATGCATAAAATATAAGAAATAAACCCGAACACCAAATAAGAAAAGCACGCTATAATCCCCTAATTATCTCATGAAATATCAATGAAATATACGTAATACATACTCCGCTGTAGTAATGTCCGTGAACTAGAAATAATACTAAGTAGAGAAATATATGATATTATCAAGGAGAATATACATATGAAACGAATTAGAAAATTCAACACTTCCCCTCATTATCTACAGCCCAAAAGTCCCATTAATCGTTCGTGAGCCGGTTTCGCTAAGATTTTTGTGCAGAAATCAGCAAGGTTATCGGAAGAGGCAACCTTCAGGAGCGTGACTGAGTCATTAGCGATTTCTTCCCGTATTTTGTGGTAGTGTATATTGATGTGTTTCGTTCGGTCGTTTAGCTAATAGTTTCTTGCGAGAAAGTTTGCGCCCGTATTATCTGCATGTAAAGTGATTGGTAAGTTGAGATGGATATCTTTGAGACCCTTTCGGAACCATTGGATTTGTCTTGCGGCAAGTGACATTGCAACGTATTCGGCTTTGGTTGTTGATAGTACGACTGAGGCTTGTTTCTTCGAGCGCCAGGAGATGCATGCACCGTTGAGAAGTACCATGTATCCTGAAAAGGAGCGGCGGGTATCGAGGCAAGGAGCAAAGTCAGCGTCAACATAGGTAT